TAAAACGTCACGACATTGCACAAGCAAATGGCTATCAGGATTTAGTAGCTAAGTAGATAACGTGATGGCGTGTGAAGCGAATGATACTGGGTTCGAGTCCTTTAGTGAACATCACTTCTGAGATTCAGGTACATTTATCTGACAAGTCCTGAATAAAACGAAACGCGCGTTCTGTATTCCACTTTCAGCCACTATCCATCTTTTCTTATAAAGCTTGTGACCTAAGACAATATCGAGACAGTTCGTACAGGATGCACATATGCCAACAAGAGTCTGATCAATTGCAGATATAAGTAAATAACACCAAAAGAATTTAAAACTAGAAAGATATAAGACTGTAATTCATGTCACTTAAATAATGGACTAGTTCAGAAAAAATGCTTCTATCAATAACACTTCAGTTATTTAACTAAATGACATAATAGTTATCAGTGATGATCATAGATTTTGTATTAAATGAAACAGGAAGGAATGTCTTACATATATTTTAACATTCACATATTGTCAATCATTCAACTGTAAGACTATCAATAAGCTAGAATGATTAGATCACATTTTACATTGATATTAAACATATTAATGTCTAAAATTATAATTAAATTATCATTAGAGATTAGACTATAAGAGTTTGATCAATTTTCAAATGTCATTACTGTTTCGTTAATCAATGATTCATTGAATACCTTGAAAATTGTTATAATTAAATTAATTAGGTAATTAATCATTGTTTAGAGACCTTCATTTGAATGAAGAATATTCTTTTTGAGAAAATCTCTTTAAATTCTACATTTCATATATTCAAATTAATAATCTGAAAAATGGTCAGGTTAAGGGCGAACTACATCGTTTCGGGTTATAGCATAACTAGGATCAGTGGGTATCTAGCTCTTTCTTGACTTACCGGAAAACAAAAACAAAAAGTTTTAACTAGGATTCGGAAAGACTTACGTGAAAGCTGAACAAAATAAAGAGCGATGATATGATATGATGATAAAGGGAACTATGTGTATGAAATTATGTAAATAAATGGGAGAAGTGCAGTTAGTCACCACCAACGTGCTTCTTGACACAGGTGTGAACTGATCGAAGTTGCCTTACCTAATTATCACGACCAGATGAGGTTAACAATATATGTAGTAAAAGAGGGCAGAATAATTTACAACATAAAAGTCTAAGCATCGAGAATAAAGTTTGAATAGACAGAGTGGTAAGATATATATAGAGGAATACTGGAATTCAAAGTGGAGAGGAAGATAAAAAAATAAAAGCATCTACATGGCTCAGATTAATATGCAATGCCTTCCTAGATGGAGCATGGCTAAATTATCATATCTACAGTCCTCAATGAATTGTTGTTCCTTGTGAGACTTGGAATTGGTTATTACTTATTTATACGGTAAGGACATCTGTGGTATTATAATACCGATTTTATCAGTAAGTCATTAGGTATCGTCCTTTTTTACACCAACCTTTTTGTACAAAAATAACTAGTCGCAAATACACCTACTTTTTATAATAATAATTATTATTATTATAATCAGAAAGGGGTTTTGTAGATATTATAGTAATTTAATAGTTGAATTCAGCAGTCAATTGAAGCTAGATCACCATGGATTGGCTGAAATTAAACATTAACATCGTTGGACGCGAGCTCAGTGGTCTAGTGGTTGAGGTCCTGGGTTCGAATCTCGTGTGGCAGGATTACATGGATACTGAGGAGTCCTATACTAGGATGAAACGGCCTTTCAGTGCTTCTAGGTTTTCCATGGTGATCTAGCTTCAATTGATTCATGATTTCAACTATTAAATAATAATAATTATTATTATTGTTATCAGCATAGTTATTTTTATCTATTGTTGTGTTTATTTATGATTACGTAATCGTGTTAGGTCTATAAAAGAAAAGCTAAATCAATGTGCATGACTACTTTCATATAGGTTTGTATGTACATTGAATGTTCATTAATCCCATAGATTAAATCATTTATATATCAGGTAAAAAGAAATGAATATATAATAGATTAACGTTAAACAATGTTACTTACGTCTATATTCAAAGAGAGAAAGAGAGAGAGAGAAAAAAACAAAACAAAAGTTTTACGAACAACTAAATAACATGTAAAATAGAGGGGAAAATAAAGGGGGAAAAACACAAAATAACATTAAACATTTTAGTCTACGAGAGAAACGACAATATTCATTCTAGAAGGAAGAAGCATTAATCTATTGTTTGTCTGTTCTTTCACTAAAAACAAACGAAGTTAAGGATTTCCTTTGTTTCATGACAAGAATAAATAGAAAGGAAGGCATATATATTTATAATACACATCGACAATTTAATCAAAATAAAATTGATAATAATATAATAGTAATTAATCAAATGTCTGATGTTACATAATAATCTGATAAACAGTTAATTGAATTTTAATAAAAAGTATTAAAAAATTAGTTTTTATTTAGTTAAGAGTGAGAGAATCATTGACGTTTTCTCAAATGATTTTGTAGTGAGATTATCATTTATAGATAAATTAATCACGTATAAGGACATCTAGGATGCAGCTGGACGATCTAGACTTCGCAGATGATCTGGCCCTCCTATCGCAATCACAACGACAAGTGCAGGAGAAGACGATCAGTGTAGCAGAAGCTTCAGCAGCAATAAGTCTAAATATACACAAAGGGAAAAGGAAGATTCTCCGATACAACACAGCATGCACCAATCTAATCACAATTGACGGAGAAGATTTGGAAGATGTGAAAACCTTTACATATTTGGGCAGCATCATTGATGAACAAGGTGAATTTGATGGAGATGTGAAAGCGCGGATCAGTAAAGCAAGAGCAGCATATTTAAAACTGAAGAACATCTGGAACTCAAAGCAACTGTCAACCAACACCAAGGTCAGGATTTCCAATACAAATAATAAGACAGTTCTACTGTATGTGGCGGAAACCTGGAGAACTACGAAAGCCATCATCCATAAGATACAGGTGTTTATTAACAGTTGTCTATGTAAAATACTTCGGATCTGTTGGCCAGACACTATTAGCAACAAACTACTATGGGAAAGAACAAACGAGATCCCAGTAGAGGAAGAAATTGGGAAAAAGCTCTGGAAGTGGATAGGGCACACATTGAAGAAAGCACCTAACTGCGTCACAAGACATGCCTCCATATGAAATCCTCAACGCCAAAGGAGGATTAGAGGAAGACCAAAGGAAATGGAGATAGACATGAGAAAAATGAACAAGAATTGGATGGAATTAGAAAAAAAAAGGCCCAGAACAGAGTGGGTTGGAGAATGCTGGTCAGCGGCCTATGCTCCACCAAGCGTAACAGGCGTAAGTAAGTAAGTAATCATGTATAAGATAATAGGTTTTGGATATTGGTGTGTAATTCATTCATCCATTTGGTTAAAGAGCCTTCTTTAGCATTTTAGCTGATATCAGTTCATGACGTAAACCATAAATCTAATTCTTAACCCTTAACCATCAAATGTAAATCTTAATTCTAGTTTTTCATCATGGTTTAAAACCATCATTTAGTCTTAGTTATTAGGTGGACATTCTCAAAGTCACTCAAAGGTCGTCCATAAATTATAATCTTAACATCTAACATTTCAAGTCCTAAAAATCTAAAGTTTATCTAATGCTACTAGAAAAAAAGTACAATACTAATTTCAAGCAAAGATGGATGATGCTAGCAGTGGAATCCAGGATGCGCGTTTCTCCCTATTTGGGATTCGTCACTGGGTGTACCTGCATCGCAGGATTGATGTCCATTCTGGAACTCGAACCCAGTATTGTTCGCTTCAAAACGCCATCACATTATCCACTTAGCTACTGCTTCCTGATAGCCACCTACTTGTGCAATGTAGTGAAGTTTAAATTCACTTAGTGTTGACTATTTTTAATTTAAATCAATCATTTCTATTACTAAGCTAAAATAAATTTAAATAACATTTTGATATAAAAATGTACTATTTAGTAAAACAGTAAAAATTCGACAAAGTTAAAAAAAGAAAATACAGGGAAGATTTATTAAAACTAATTTGTCTCAATAATTAAAACAAGCGCCATTAAAATTTCAATAGTATTACGGCATGGATTACTTATATCTACATAAGCCAGTATATAATGATGGTCAGACATAGAATGTATTTTAGCAGAAGATCGATAAAGAAGGAATGGATACGGAATGCAATAGGTATGAAAAAGTATGAACAATAAAATCTGACACTATGGACTGATATTTACAAAAGTAACAATGAAGTATGAAACGATGGATTGATATTTTACAAATTAACTATTTACTATATGGTAATCAGATTTTATTGAGATGCTTTGTAATTTCATGTTCAAATACATTCGATTGTCTTCACTGATGTTCTGTTTACTACATTTAAGTAGTTATGCATTTATAATTAATTGAAAATAGCTCATCTTAAGAAATTTTGATAAACAGTAAAAGATTTAATCAGCTAAACAAAATTGTTTCTTTTTAGTTTTGGCAGAAAAAAATTAATTAAAATTTATTACGTCATAGGATGAAGAGAAAAAGTTGTTTTTCTCTCTCGAATAAATCGAATTCTCTATATATATTTTTTGTAATTTAAAAATTCTATATAAATTAAAACAAAACTAGTTTAGATTTTGAAAGAGCATTTTAAAATGTTAACTATTATGTATTTGTATCAGAAGGGGTTTTGTGAAGATCGTAGTAATTTCAACAGTTGAGATTCTGAATCGATTGAAGCTAGATCACTATGGAAAACCTGGAAGCACTAGACGGCCGTTTCTTCCTATTGTGGGACTCCTCAGCAGTGCGTATCCACGACCCCGCCTTGCGGGATTTGAACCCAGGACCTATCCCAGTGAGTAGAAAACTATCAAGTTCAATTTTGGCATTGATACCTATTAACTCATAAGTCGTTCAAATTGAAAATTTAAATTACAATTAATAAATTAGATATATATAACACAAGAAAAAAACAACTTACCTTATTATATGTTCTCCAATTACGATATTTTGCTGGTATTTTCACTAAACAAAATCGATCTAATGTAATTAAAAATACAGTATATTGACTTGTAAGACATGCTGAAAAATCTAATGATAACCATAAATCACAAATTAAATAACCTAATGGCCAATAACCAAGTAATTGATATGTAATAAATAAATTCATAGAAAATAAACCAATTAATACATCAGTCATAGCTAATGATGCTATAAAATAATTACTTGGTATACGTAATGAACGTTCAATAAAAAATGCAATTAATACTATAATATTACCACCAAGTGTAGCAGTTGATATAGTTGTTGCTAATAATGCTATTATACTTGTTGTGAATGATGGAAAAATACTGATGAATGTGTAATTCATTAGCTGATTATGAATTATGTTTATGTTCTATTTTTGAAAGAAAAAATAATAATAATTAATGTTTTTCTTTGTTGGTAATTAATTTCTTGTTATTTGAATTAATGTTCTGTATCATCAATTGTACTTGGCTATAAGTGAAAATGAAAAAGGGAATAGATATAATAAGTGTACGAAATTTAAGTACAATTAATATATATATATATATATATATATATATATATATATATATATATATATATATATATATATATATATATATATATATATATATAACTGAGAATAGATTTTATCTGGCCTTTTATATACCAAGTTGGTAGATGTTCACTCATTCGTTGGTTTAAGTTGCCTGGTAGTATATCTCACTAGCAGAGCAAAAAAAGATCTGTACAGTAGATACTCTAAGTCAGGAGCTTGAGTTTATCAATAACTCACTAACCGAGATCGGCTACCTCAGTGCTTTCATTAGGAAGTACATGTATGACATAATAAAGAAATCGAAGATTTCGACTGTCCGTAAGAAACTTTTATACATGAAAGTACAATTCAACGGGGATGTGGCTAGTGATACTCTGTAATATAGGTTAACTAAAGTAATCACCAGGACATTCTACGCAGCCAATCTTGCGTTGACCTTCTCTTGTCGACCAGCGATGTCTACCTAAACGAAAGATAAGCTACCTGAGTGCATTTACAAATTCAGCTGCTCCTGTGGAGATAGCCAACGAATAAGTGAACATCTACCAAATTAATATGTATGTCAATGAAAATTTGAATGGTGTAATAAGAAGATGAAGATGATCAAAACTGCTTTTCAATACATAAAGGGGGTTTTGACTGATACTTCAATAAACCTGAGTATACACCCTGAAAAACGTTTGAGCAAAACTACAAAAAAGTTATTTAATATCAGTCTTATGACAAGTCTCAACTATGTGTTTAATAAGGGAAGATGATGAATGTTTGTTACCTGCTCTTATTGGGTAATTTGATCTGATTTGTTTGTGCAGCCATTTTGGCATATATTCAGAGAGCATATGTATGTGCGGGAACAGACAGATGAAAATTGATTAACATATTGGGATTTGACGCAACCATTTACATGCCGTTTAGGTTATGTTATGGCATTTGAAGCAAACGTAACTGGGTTCGAGTCCCGAATTGGATGTTAACTCTGGGATGCAGGTACATCCAGCTAATGAGTTTCAAATAGGACGAAATGCATGTCCTGAATTTCACTGCTCGCCACCATCCATCTCAGCTTATAAATAGTAATTTACTTGTACTATACAAATGGAACTTACCGCTCAATGTCACTAATTCCATATGATTCCTTCAGTTTCGAATGATTATTTGTCAAATTAATGCCTTAAAGTTTTCTATGAATATACTGTAGTGTATTAATTCATTCAGAATCATATCTATGTAGTTCTAGTTAACCTGCTTCTTTAACTATCATGTTCGTGAAAATTGAATCACTTAATCAGAAAAAAAATTATAATTATACATTTATGTAATTGGTTATCGTTACAGTTGTAAACCAAGCAAGAATGATAATATTTTAAGAATGCAATGAATTCATTCTAGATATGTTGAATGATCTTCAGAAATTCCAGAACTAGAACTCCGAAGATTTAGAGAAAACACTGTCAAGTTTAAACTGAATTCAGTTGTTGACTTTGGAATAACTTATTCTTCTCTAATGGACTACTTATTTATTTATGTCCTTTTTAATTACAAGTATTTTGATATTTTGATCTAACTAAACTTACCATTTTCTTTATGTAGCTGTCAGTGGAAAGCCAATAATTACTTAATACATTCCTTGTGTTCTGTATATTTTGTTACATACACATTGTGAAATTTTAAATAGCGATGTTGATTGATACTTGATACTTGGATAAAATGTATGAAATTAACATACTTAAATTGTTTAGTTAAGTAATATAAACCATTTCATATAATAAAAAAAATAGTAGAATGCTGATCAAACTAATATAGAATAAGCCATTGACGTTGCTAAGGGAATTTATGAATAATAAGAAATGATTTTTCAGTGTATTATAGATGTCAGATAATAATGTTTTTACATTGAAAAAAAAGGGTTTTTTAGCTATACGAATATATTATTAGTCAAACGTGTCACCTGCATAGATTAAAGATTATAAACATATCAGATTACAGTGGCTTATCTAAAAAGAATATATACTGAACTCAAATAATCTCCTATAATTCGATAGAACAATGAGAAGATGGAGTTGACCTGAAATATGTGATGTAGTTGCGTTATACGTTTCGAAAAATCTGGTCACACATATACTTGGGAAGATACAAATAAACAATACCAAGTGATTTAAACTTCAGCACATTGCACAATTTAGTGACTATGAGGACTCACTACCTAAGTGGATAACACAACGGCGTTTGAAGCGAACGGTACTGAGTTCGAGTCTCGGAGTGAATATCAATTGTCAGATGCAGATACATCCAGCTGAGGAGTCCTAAATAGGAAGAAACGCTCGTTCTGTATTTCACTTCTAGCCACTATCCATTTTCGCTTAAACACTGTGTATCCACAAGGCAACTAATTTAATAAGGGAATGTTTTCACTGTTTTATCCTGTTGTTTTCTGAGTTAGGAATTTAAACAACCATTCATTCGTTCACTTGTTGTCCATACTAAAAATATACATCATAATTTAGTGAATGTTTATGCTTTATGTTATTCTAGATATTCAAAATTTGGGTAAGAATCGAGACAAGTTGTTTTCAATCTTGTTTGTTTTGTTCATAACTGTCCCGCTGAGACGTCTACCTGCTGACAATATTAATATGAATTAATGTGTTTTTTTTATCAATTACTTTAATCATCTTATAGTTTATATAATGCGAAGAAATTCTTAATGGTCACTTATGTATAGAGTTTCAATCTAAATAAACCAACCTGTATAACAATTAATGAATCATAAACCCATCATACATTTTGGCCGATAACCTAGAAGTTGCAGAGTATGTTCTGTTTTTTAATTATTTACAAACTTGAATGGGAGATTTAATAGGCCAACTAAGTTTTAATGTATCTAGCTTTATTACTAACTCGGAAAGAATTAAAGATATAGTGATTTACCAAATGGTATTTAAAATAGTTTCATTATAGATCATAAACTACTTATCCTTAATGTCGAAGGACTGTATGAAGTATTAAGCTGACATTAAATAATTCATTATCTGGTGATGAACTGCAATCATCATGTTGAAATGTATTCGAAACGTACGTTCTATCCTGAATGGAACTGATAAACGTGATGTAACTAAATTTTGGAATCGATCATATAACTGTAACTCAAGCCCATAAAAAAAAGAACAATAATTTTAATATAAGCGTAGTCATGTTAGTATCTTAGTCCAGTGAAGTACCCAATTCCATTTAAATGTATGGATAGAGGCATCAATATAAATAAAACCATCTTCAATTTATGGGTATCACTGTTTCTTTGATTGTGATTCCTTGTTTCACTATTAAGCATTAGTGTTGAATAAACCAATGTTAGAAGTAGGTAGATCTTCAATAATAATCAGTAATCTATTCAACAAAAGCATCATAAACAAATAAATCATCTTAAAGAATGAATATTCATGTTTCACGTGCAATATCTTAGAATCTAACTGTATTGACTAAACATGTCTATGAATACTTTTACAAACAAATATATACTTGTAGTAGGTAAACAATTCACTTGGTTTGCGAGTCACTTAGTCAGTATTAAGATCTCAATTGTTTTATCAAATCTACAACTAGTAACTGCTTTATTGCAATGGTGAATAATAGACCATGCAAACTTCTGAATCATAACACCAGAAGGGTAGATCAGTAGACACACGTACCACTGTTGTTTAGACTTATAAGTGACGTGACAATTTAAGTTCGGTACACATGAGCTCCAAGTACCCATAATTATAAGTCAAAAAATAAATTAAAATTATAACTGTTTGATAAATACGTATTATAACATGCAAGCTAATTAACCAAATAATAATTACTTTTCATATTGCTGTTTACTTGACTTTCTCTTGGGAGTCAAACTAAATTAACTTAGAGTTGACTGTGTAGTACACTGGTAAGATTGTGCTCTTTTTTAACGAATAACTCAACTTTCAAGTCACTAAATATTATTCATCTATGAATGATTGTTTAGTAATAATGTTTTTAAATTCTGTCTGGAGCTTCCGGCTTTTAATCTGAGATTTGTAGGCCATTGATTTCAACGTTAACAGTTAAGGTAATTAGACGACTGAGATTTTCGGATTCCATTTCATTTTAGTTATTTCACAATTGTCTAACTGATAACTCCAATTTTTCGAATTGTATTGAGCGCTCGCTAGAATAATATTTAAGCAAAACAAGAGCTACAGTATTTACAAAGTATCGTGAATTGATTGCATTTTCTTACCTTTGCTTTGTTTAGGTTGTTAATTTACATTTAATTAGCAGAGCTGGTTGCCTTTTTTGATGATCATTTGCTTTTATACTATGTTGACAAAATTCTAGAGGTTTCTATTTTGTAAATAATGTATTTTTACTAGAGAAACCCATTCATAGCTGTACATGTTAATAATAAACAATTTCATGGTGTATTTGTGGACAATAGTCAATACATCAATGAGATGTCATTTAAGGACAAGACAATGATGCATACACCCAAGACATATAGATTTTGAAGTGATTATGTTAGCTTAAAACCACTGAGTCGAAAGTAGATAGTCCGTATATCTAATTTCGATCAATTCTTAATTTATGGGAACATTCCAATAGTTGAGATCATGAGTCAATTAAAACCAAATACCATGGAAAACCTGGAAGCACTGAACGGTCGTTTCGTCCTATTATGGGACTCCTCCATTGTGGTTTAGCTTTAATTGACTCATGGTCTTAACTATTGAAATTACTACAATCTCCACAAAACCCATTCTGATACTAATCAACATGTGCTCACTAGTGACTGGCTTCAACAGGTATTTCCTGGAGTTCTAGTGAGAAGCAGTGACCAATGGAGTTCAACTAGGTTTGTTGTGAGATAGTAACTCACTGAAGATCATGGTGAATGTGACGCTCAATTCAGTGGATTAGTTGAAGTTAGACATTAACACTGTTGTATACCAGCTCAGTGGTCTAGAGGTTAAGCGCTCGCGCGAAACTATTAGGTCCAACGTTCGAATCTCGCAAGCCGGGATCGTTGATGCTCACTGTTGAGGAGTCCCACAATAGTACGAAACGACGGTCCAGTACCTCTAGGTTTTCCATGGTGGTCTAACTTCAAATGACTCATGATCTCAACTATCGAAATTATCGCAATCTCCACATAACCCCTTTTGATATTTATGGGAACAAACATTAAGTGTCATCTACGTAAGTTTCATTATACAAAGCTAATCAAAATGTGTTACAGTGACAAGCTTGCTGCAAGTTTCAAACTTTGTCGTAATTCACATATCCTCAACACAGTATGTGTTTAAGCATATATGTATATCATCTAAACAACAATATGTCAGATTTAACTGGCATCTTGAATTAGGATCTCAACAATTTCTGACTGGTTTGAAACATAGCTATCATATGATCTGAATATAGCTTGCTGAAGTTAATAATATACATTAATCGAAGGTAAACAATGATACGTTCAATGATTACATAAAAACAGTAATATATGTATATACAATTAATGATAAATGATTGTGTAATTTTCATTTCTTATTCATTGAAAGTGAATATGATAATCATTATCAGAATGGGTTTTTTTGTGGAGATTTTAGAAATTTCACAAGTTGAAATCATGAGCACTGCTGAGGAGTCCCATACTAGGACGAAACGGCCGTCCAGTGCTTCCAGGTTTTCAATGGTGGTCTAGCTTCAACTGACTCATGATTTCAACTTGTGAAATATGATAATTGTCACTTAAATATTTATTTCATACTATTACATGATCTAAACTATGCAACTTATTAACTATTCATATCTCGACAATAAAGATTCATATGTTACAATAAAGAAATGATTTACCTTTCAGTCGAATGTGATTATTTAAAATTAAAGGCGTACACTGAATACTTAATGTATCTTTAGGATTTTCTATATATTAAAGATGAATTATACACAGGCGATTATCTTAATTATAATTATGATGTATTGAAATATTTTGCATCGAAAGAATTTATTATTATTTTTAAACAAAGATAGATAGTGACTCAAAGTGGAATACAAAACGAGTGTTTCGTCCTAGTTGAGATTCGTCAGCTGGGTGTATCTGCATCTCAGAGTTAATGTTCACCTCAGGACTTGAACTCAGTACAGTTCGCTTCAAATGTTATCACGTTATTTACTCAGCTACTGAGTCACGATAGTCACTTAGTTGTGCAATGTGGTGAAGCTTAGATTCACTTGTTATTGTTGATTTGAATATTCCCATTGATGTTCAGGGCTGAAAATGATCAGTCTGTTATTGGCATATGTGCATATTGTGAGTATGAATTAAGGCAATATCGAGGTAATCCGCATAGGATGCACATATTCCAATAAGAGACTAATCAATTTCAGTCTTAAACATCAATAGGAAGATTCAAGTAAATAACACCAAGTGAATTTATTTATTATTTTTGATGAAATCATCTTATGGTAGATTATGAAAATTATTTTGATCAAACGATTATATGGTAATAGGATGAAAAAGTATTGAAGCAAATAACGAACTTTTTTTTTACAGAACACGATAAATGTTGCTTGTGAGGTAACTAGGGAAGTCTAGTGAAAATTCGCGACTAGTGGATTTCAGTTATCTTTAATGCTAGACAGTCAACTATGAATAACAGTGAAAGATAGTTGCTCTCCTTTGTGAATTGATTTAAATTACACATGCAAAGTATTGGATACTGGCTCATTAGACTTGAGGTCAAGTTTTACCCATGAAACCGAAAGTCCTTAATTCTACCCTCGTTGGGGTCATGATTACAAACTACTTAATTGTCCAATATTAGCTGCCATGTGTTTCATAGTTGTCAATGATTGTTTAGTTTATATCGGTTTCTGATATCGATAACACTCAGGAATCTACGCAAACTTTTATGGTGATAAATTTACTGTGCTTGGTTGTTTTTCCGTTGACTTTATACAAATCAATAAGTTTAATTACTTTAAAATACTAATATGGCATGGGAATCAAGCAAATGAACCATCCATCAAGAAAATATAAGTTTTTCAGAACGTAAGTAAAGCTTAAAATGAAGTTTTCACTTGGTTTTTATTATTGATTTTAAATAAATAAATTTATTTGTTTGTATTTGATTAAATAGAAACCAAAGAAATGCAATAAATTAGTTGTATTCTGCTTATAATACTATTCTTGTTTTCACTGATTGAAATCATGAATCAATTGAAGCTAGACCACCATGGAAAACCTGGAAGTACTGGATGGTCATTTCATCCTAGTATTCTTGTTTTGTTTAGATTTCCAGAAGAACCAATGACATGGAACATTATGTGTATCTATGCTTATTATTTCTGATAGCAATCTTGAAAAAATTATCCAGTGATAAAAAGATTTATTAAGATATCCGCCTATTGAGATTAAACCTAATGAGTTTTAAACATTGTTCTTAGAAGAAATGACTACGTGATAATATTTGATAGAACCTGATATTAATGAAGAGACGCTATGTGGTGCAATGAAATGCATTCTATAATATAATATTGAATTGCATACTGTCAGTGTTTGCTATGAAAGATAGTGTCTCATTTCTATGCATGTGAAAAAATCTGAAGTTGTTTTAATTCTTGGGGTTTATTGAAAACTATACTAATCTAATTTTACAGGTATTTCTACCTAATCGAATGTATTGTACTGTTTTAAACTAAATTTTTCAGATTAAATTAGACTAGCCCAAGTTGCACTTGTATTGTCAAGGTAGGGTAAACAAGGTTTTAGATGAACGACTGAAGATTTTATTAGTCATCTGATGGCATAAACTGTATAGTTTAATATAGCTTATAACTATTCAGCATGAAAACATGTCACTTTGTTATTTAAATTTATTAGATATTACCTTTTCACTTTTGGAAAGTAACTTGTAATCTTAAAAGTTGAAACCACATACTAACTTGACGTTCAGCTGTATTTACTTACGTACATACTCATGCTACCCTTCGCGTAAGTGAATAAGCCACTCACCAACATTCTCCATCCAACTCTGTCCTGAACAATCTTTTCTAGTTGTTTCTGGTTGCTATTCATCATTTTCATGTCTGCTTCCGATTCTCGATCGGTCTTTACGGAATACAACCTGTTGATCTCGAAGTTGGGCTCCTGCTGAGTGTTTCGTCCGGTTCAGCAACACTCTGCTGAAAACTTTTCATGATACAGATAGTAGTATTATGCCTTTATAGTTCCCACACTTGTTGAGATCTTTCTTTGGAATCGTGATGAGACTTCCTTCTTTTCAATCTGTCGTTACTTGTCCCTCATTACAAATCTCCCTGAATAGAACGTGGAGCACGTTCGTAGTTGTTTATATGTGTGACTTTAAGGCTTCGGCTGATATACTGTCAGGTTGTGCTGCTTTCACACTGTTGATTTTATGATGGTCGTTCTAATTTCTTCGATCTTTGGTTGGGTGACATCTATAGGAAGGTCTGTGAGAGCTGCTTTGATGTCTAGTAGATTCAGTGGAGCTTGTCTATTCAAGAGTTTGTTGAAGTATTCTACGCATATGATCCTCTGTTCTTGAATCACGGTGATTGTCTTGCTCTTTTTGTTAGGGTGTACACTTTTTGAAATCTTTGACTGGATTTTGTAAATGATGTGAAAGGGTAATTGAATGGCTGAATGTTCTGCGTCTAATATATGCTGCAGAATCGATGGCTTCACTTTTATTCACCTTCATTAAGTTACAGTGGTAGCTACCGTCAAATGCGACGAATAATTTTTTGTATGAAAAACCCAGCTTAGCTCAGTAAGAAAAGGTGAGTTTTCAAAAGACTTGACGATATTTTAGATACCAAGTTTTAATATTAACTTTGAATCTCATCAATTTAAGAAAAATAGTGTGAATAAGTATTAGTTGATATCCGATAGAAATTTATCATTTATGTATATTCTATTCGTTGAAATATAATAGATGAGAAAATAATATTGTAAATGATCAATGAAACT